CCCCAAAACCCCAAAACCCCAAAACCCCAAAACCCCTTGAAATTATTTTGAGTTTGAAGATGATTTTTTTTATAAAATGATGTTGGAGATTTATTTGAGGGTTTTGGAGTTGAGTTTTATTTTTCTTTTGGGATTGTAGTTGGCCTTTAGCATCTCAACTGTTTTTCCTGGAAAGTAGTACAAAATTGATTCATAATCAATGAGTCCCTTTTTCCTCTGTTGATTCATTAGTTTAGATAGTAATTTGGTGTCTCTGATTGAGAAAGACTTCACCATGATAAGCTTCCTAATTCGAGTCAGAAGTTGGAGCTTTCTGCTCCTTCTCCACTTGATCTCAACTATAAGTTGTTCAAGAATCTTCATAAGCTTCTCTGACAAAGGAAAGTCAGTTCCTTCGAACTCTGAGAGAGTGGTCTGGGATTCTTTACAAAGTGTATTCAGTGCAAGAAACATCTCTATAAATATTCGTTTTAAATTTGTTAGGAGAGAAAGTTTGAACATCCTAGCGAATGATTTTTGTCAAAACTTAATGATTAACTAGGCTTCTCTATGAGGAAACCTAAATCTGTAAATAAATATTTGTCTGTTAGGATGAATTTGATCTTATTAATAATTGAGGCTAAGGTTACACAAGTTTCTTTTTGGTTTTTAATTATTAAGCAGAATACTTCAGGGGCTTACCTCTATCATGCTTTTTGCAAAACCTCTTTCTGTTGTCAAAAGATTTAGCTTTCTGGATGTTCTTGTTCTTTCTGGATCGTCTCTTAGGCTTTCTCTTTCTTGATATCTTCTTTTTAGTAAGCTTGATTTCTTCAATCTCAGAATTCTCTATTCGTAAAGACTTCAGGATCTCTTTATGCTGAATATCTTCTACTAATTCTTGTGTGTTTCAAGAAGAGTGACTCTTTTCAGAAGATCCTTCATCTCCAAAGAGTTTATCTTGAGAACATGAGGTGCCAAATAGCTGATCGAAAGGATCTATTCCACTTCATTTCTTCTGAACTACCTCATGAAGGTCGAGGTCACAGATCGAGGGGAAGTCGTTTAGCATTTTGAAGTCTTCTTGACCAAGTTCTGGCATTCCACTAAGTGAACAAAGATCAATATCGTGTGAAGATTCTTCAAATAAAGTGCTGTAATTCGGAATCATCGGGTTCTTAATTTTATTTAAAAAATAATTATTAAAGTCATAAACTCTTACTTTTTATAGTATTCCAAGTGACTAAAAACGCATATTTATCGCATATTTTTAACGTAATCTCTGGCATAAACTTTGTAGCTGGGAAACGAAATAGAGGATTTTTATGATGATATTTACCCAGATTCTTACCGATGAGCTTCATCTCGAGCTAGTTCTCTTGTGGATATGAATTTGAAATTGGCATCTTTCCAATTTCTGTCAGAAATTATGAAGACAAATATCTTACTCCAGGCTAGGGCTCTAGACCTCTTTCAAGAGCCCTTCAAAGTTTACATTAAGAAGCTGATTACTATTTCTAATGTCTTCAGACTTCTCAAATTTGTAGAGGGTCATTTTTCCATTTTCTTTTCGAATAGATTTGTGGGAACAAATGGTGGCGATCATATTTTCAGATAAAAATGTATTTCTTCTAGACAAGATTTCTTCAAATATTTTGAACATGATTTAGGAGTTTTTGCTTAAGACAAGTTATTAATTATTTTGCTTCATATTTCTTATCTCCAAGCAAAATGGGACTATGTAAAGAGTTAGCCAGAGAAGTGTACTTCAAATTTTGAAGGGTTGATTACATAATTCTTTTTGGTTCATGAAAATAACTTGCTGAAGCAGTTTCAATTCTTGCAAATCTTTGCATAAAGGAAAGCAAGAGACTTCAGACTCGAAGATTAAGGTTTTCCTATTGAGGCTATCACTGCTGTTCCTGTTTTAAACATGTTATGGTAAGTAACAAGGTATTTAGCATGGGTTCAAAATTAATGACTAAATTCACAAATGTAACCACAGCAATGGAATTTGAGACCCCTTTGAGTTTCGTGAATTTGTGCTTGATACTAGCTAAAGGAGCTAAATATTTAATTAAATTCTTTCATATTTTTCTTCAGAGTTACAGTTTTAGAAGTAAATTTAGTTTTGAAAAGACAAGAATATGATCGGAATGAACTTGGTTACTAATTAAGTTACAGTTTTTAACATCATTTTTCTATTAATAGTAATACGAAGAGAGCTTGCTCATGATTATAGTCAATGAATTTAGCACAGTTAAAATCCTCATAAGTCTAAAAGAAGGATATCCTCACAGTTCTGCTATTCTAGCACAGATATTCTCAGTTTTGGGCTTCTTTTGAAACTGGACTTATAACTCCTCTGAAACCTACTTGATTTCTTACACAAAAATATTGCAGAGATCAAGAGAGAGTCTAGTTAAAATCCCAAGCTATCTCTTTTAAACAGACAGATGGTATTGGCAGATACACTAATTTTGCAATAATTGGATATCCATGATTCTCAAACGACGTTAACCTAAAGTTTTAAAATTCAATTCAATTAAAAATCTAAAATTTATCTAAAGAATCATTTTGTCTCCAAATGCGCACAACTAATGATGCGCTTTAAGAGCGATTTTAGGCTTGGAAGAGCCATCAGAGTTACTTTGCTCATCTATAGCCTCCAATAACTGCTGGGGTATCTGTAGAAGGAGATAAACACTTTAGGTAAGTTAGTGCGGTTCTATGGATTTTTACAAAAAATTAAAGATATTTTTGTCCTGATGGAAAATCTCCACAACTCTTGTATGGAACTCTTAATCCAAGTACGATGTTTTCGCCATAAGATCAAGGGTCGATACTATGATCTCTTCAATATTGTGAAGCTGGAGGTTGTATATAAGCTCATCTCCAAACTCTCAGCTATAATTATGCAACAAAAATGCAGAGCTTTGCTAGTAATACATGAGTTTCAATCCACCCATCCATGCATGGGGTTTTGGGGTTTTGGGGTTTTGGGGTTTTGGGG